GTTCCATCTGTGATATGAAAACACTAGTAGAATTTTTCCACTGCAGAGAAAACTAGAACAGGCGCAAAGTTATAGATATACTTCCCCAGGGAAAGTTAGTATTTTTTACCGCTTTCGAATTCTCACCAACTACGAAGAGATGGGCCCAAAACTTGGAGGTCAAATCAGTGAAGTGTAAGAGCATACCCCCCTGAGCCGCAAGATGGTACCTGTTGGAGTGACTGTGCACGAGTCGAAAAAACCAGATATGCTACGAATTTCTCATCATCATAGTACACGCATTGCGTGTATATACGTATCTTCAATGTATCTTCGGTGAAAGTACCACCAGATGCTTGGCATAAAGTGTTAACCAAAAACCTCAGACTCATCTGCACATTCATCAGATGAGCTAAATGAAGAAGATCGTAAGATTCTTACGAGTCAACCAGAGGCCCGACCGACGCTCTAAGCAAGAGATTCTGACTTACGTGGGTGATGTACGTGACTTCCGCGGCGCCAAGGCGCGTTTCCCGTGACGCGGGATCAGTTGCACAGCCATAGCACAATTTTTAGGGAGATGTCATATGCTGTAGTCAGGCATTAATTGAGTATTATGTCTCTGTAGCTGAGTCACTCTGTGTGCACCATTGTGACCTCAGCATTTCTCCTCATCTATTTAGTGTAAGTAACTGAGAATGGTTATCCTCGCACTCTTGAAGTTATTTGCACCACTAAGCCATTAGCTAGCCCTTAGTAAGGGCCCCTTACACAGTCGCACGCTTAGACAAATGCTCTTCTGCGCCTCGGCTGAGCTTTAGTTGGGAGTTGACTTAGGCACACGAATCAAATCACGAATGACAGAAAATGTATGCAACCCCCCATTGCATACAATTCATCCGCTTCCTGAAAATGAGGGTGGCAAGGATTGGGGCGGTTGCATACAATTTTTCCACATACCGTGAGTGATATCGGGGACCACATGTGCATGAATACTGCAATAAAGCTCCTGATTGTTGCGATCTAGCACACAGTGTTCATTCGGCATCTTTACGCGCCGAATTGGCGGCATGATCCGCCAATTTGATTCTCGAACAACAACGACGACGTATTTGCTATCAGTAGCCCGAGTTATAAGCACCGAATTCCTATCAGTTTTAGTGCCACCAACCCTTTCACATTACACAAAATGGGCTACACAACACAAAAAGATTGGAAAACTCGATATTCCCCTGCTGTGAGACGAATTATCTCAGAGAGATGACGTCTCGGGCATCAGCCATACTCGTGGTGGGGCGAACATGAGTGACTCATCCCGAATGAGACGATTCAAAATAATCCTCTGTGTGTTCGCTGAACTGCTCTAGCCACGCGGCAGTTTCATTAGCGATACCGGTGCAATCATGGTTACCAGCAACCTGGGTGAGTATATGCACGAGATACCTGACATCGGTGCGATGATGCCGGGTCAGGGAAACCTTCTCTCGAATCTTGCTCGACACTTTCTGTTAGACAGGGGAGCTCAAATGATCGCCGGATTGTTCTGCAAACTTCACCAAACAAATCAATTATAAATGATAATGGAATTTATAATAATTGAATTCAATTCAATTATAATTTATAATAATCTACGATCTCATTGGGAGTAGTGATATCTACAATTAACACAGCAAGACAGTGACCGTACTTCAGAGTGTCCTCCACGTCACTCACTATAGCGTGGTGGATTCAATCGTGTCGTCAATGATTCGCTTTCCGGATCAGCGAACAGACCCTCACCTGCGATAGCCTGATTCGAGAGCTGACCAGAGTGCGTTTCTCTCAGCTGGTCCCCGAAACCGGTGCAGCAAATTCAACAGAGTCTCCTCATTGCCATACCGGAAGACCTTCTGAGCATTTCACAGCAATGAACCCTCATCATCAGGCACAGCATGCTGGTTGCTGCAGGTGTACTTCGAAGCTCTTCGTGAAATGAGCATCAACCAATAATTCAAGAGCCGCTATGGATCCTTCTGAAGGAATCAGAGTTTCTTTCCTTCCCAAGAGGAAGTCCAGAGACATCCTTTGTACAATCTCAAGCACTTCTTTAGAGGAGATTTCCAACGACTTGTGCACAGAAGGCTCCTCCTAAAATATTGATCGGCATCGATAGCGATCGCAGCAGATTTCGCAATTGCGGTCGGCCTCACCGTAGTGCCTTTCACCGAGTGCTGCCGCTTCCACCTCTCAGATGGATCATCTGATCCATACGACAACGTTGGCTTAATATACTCGATCATTTCGGTCCTCATCCAATGGTCCTCAGGGGCGTGTCGCAGACTGCTGTTCATGCTCCCCTTCGCAAGACTGTATTCGAGTACGAGCCCCCTGGGAGCGTCAATCTTTAGTCGTGGGCAGTCAAATAGCCGACCACAACAAATAGAAAATAAAACTGAGAGGTTACAAATCGATCCTGAATTCACGCCCGGGGCATGATGTCCCCAGATTCTGGGGCCCAGGATCTCACTGTCCAGCGCAACCAGAACAACTGAGCATCCCATGAATCTCAAGACTCCTCTAATGGGACGATCAAGTCATCTAATGTGTTCAAACCTCAACGATATTCAGTTATTAGCCATTAGCCAAGCTGAACAGGCTAGCATTCTAGCTGTGAGGCGACACAAAATACTCAAACATTGTGTCAAAAGAAGTGTTTCATCGCACAAACCGACCCACTCTCGGATGGATCAGTAGAAGTCCACCTATTAAGGGTGTCGGCGGACAACATAGGACTCTCAAAAGACCAATGCGCATCGCTGAGTGTTGCTCAGTGTCAAATCACGTGAAATTATCCCGAAGGCAAGAGTGGTGGCGGGAGGAAGATGCCACAGGCACTTAAGCCCATGAGGAGACCCACTCGACGGTGTGTCATCTCTAACCGATGTTATACCACATCAAGGAATTGCTCACGAGAACATTCCGGGAGGAACCACTCAGCGATAGTCCCTCCTGTATTCCTTTATCTTTACAGATCGTTCTTCTAGAAGCCGGAAGAAGTTCTTCAAAGGCGGTCTCGACAGGGATCTCCCCGGGATCTACCCAGGATTCCTCGGCCAGGAATCCCACTGTGGATAGCATCCAACCGATACTAATCGTATAAAGCTCTGGGCTCACACCTATTCACAGGGTCTCCGTTCTAAGACGTGACCCCTAAGGTACCCACTCGGTAATCCCCTATGGAGTAGTACTCCAGGAGTACCCACTACTAACACCTGGACTCGCACCTGTTCTCGGGGTGTCCGTTCAAAGACGTGTCCCCTAAGGTTGCCAGGAAGAGTCTGCCTCTCGGGCCCGGCTTCACAAGCCACTAACACCGGGTGTCAAACATCCTTTGACGGCATTGAGGAGAATAGTAAGAATTAAATGGAACTGCAAACAAGAGGAAGAAACGAGACAAGCTAAACGCGAAGGAGACGGATAAATGAAAAAGAAAAGAAAAAAAGGAACGAGGCTGGTTCGTGGGTGGAACCATCTCGGTCTCATAACATACGGTTCGATCGATAACATCAGAATACACCAACATATTTGTCATTTCGTGCACTTGCTTGAACTTGCTTTCTAACGAAACCTTCACGGCAGAGAGGTGATCTGGAACCCAGACTTCGGGGTAGCCAGAAAGCAGCTGAAGTATATGACCACGCATCCGATCGTAGCAACACTTGAGGACTCTCTGCAGCCAAACATCCCCTTGACTTCTCTCGTGGTATTTCAGCGATATCCGTTCCATGGTAGTCCTCATTTCATATCTAGAACGAGGGTTTGCTGCGGAGGTTCGGCCTAGATGCCGAAGGATGGTGATCCTTGTGGCATCCACCTTGCACTGGATCGCCACACACATAACAACGGCAGCCACTGGAGAGAAGTGGCATGAGTCATGCCGCATGACTCTGAGGCTCAGCCTGAGCCGCTCAGGGCCGGAGCACTCCACGCCATAAGATCTATACAGTCCTCCCACATTCAGTGAACGGTGAATCACAGTATTATTCGCGCCTCTTCGTTTCCTGTTCAACTGAGATCGCCAGTAAATATCGACACAGTTTCTCCCTCCGCAGCCCCTCATTGGAAGCTATCGACGACGGACTCTCATGCAACCCAACATCGCTCTC